TTTATTTCATTCATAACTATATGAGACTTCCATCTCTCTGGTAGTTTCTTTGCTATTGTTTTTATTTTTTACCTCCGTGTCACATTTAATTTATCTGCTTCAACATTTACTCATTCTTCCCGTGTCATGGCGCGGGCGGAGGCGCTAAAGTAAACAAAACAAAATAAAAAAATGCAGAATCCAGCCCCGACAGGCCGGACGGAGGTCAGGAAGATGGTTCTTGCCCAGAGTCGACCTTCTGAGGGAGAAGTTCATTCTCCAGCTGCATACAAATTACTTTTTCACCACTGGTATTACTGGGAGCCTCCAAAATCAACCATGACTTGCAAGTCCCACCAGTGCACAGACAGAGTCACATTTAAATAAATAAAAAGGTGAAATCCCAGAGTGACTCGAGAAAACATGAGGCAGAGTGTGAGTCAGTGAACGGATTTTGTATTTAAACTCATACATGACTAGAAACACGTCTGAACTCATAATTGTAGCTGCTCTTCTTTGAATATCATCATTACATCATATGTTTGGTGTGTTTCTTCCATGTTGTTTAATGAAACATGAACAGCTTTCGGCCTATGAATGCAGATAAATTAAAAAGCTGATGCATGTCGGTCAATGTGTTCCGCCTGCAGTTTACCAGCTAAGCTGCTCAAATATGATTCGTCAAACTAGAAAAAGGAAACCAGAAGCTTCCAGCCCCCAAATCTTGTCCCTCGCCTACAGACTCTGTTTATTCACAAGCAGAATCTGTTTAGATACCTTGTAAAATACTCTACTTATGGTTTTGCTCTGGATTTTCCATTAGAATATTGTATTCAGACAAAAACACATGTCGCAGATTATAAATTTCACTGTGATGTGGCCTCTTGAACTACCCTTTAAAACTTCTGGAGTTTAATAATGTAACAGGAATGGCTGACACAGAAAAACTCCTCTGGCGACATCAGTCTGACAAACTCAAACTGACACGTGAGTGATAAGCCTACGAGAACTCACAGCTTTCTTCTTCCGCGAAAAAAGGTGCCACCTCATTTTCAACCCCAGCAAAAGAACAAAAATGTCCTTGGGGCTTCAGTGCAATATTAGTCACCTTGTTTTGTGGACTCACTCCACCTTTCTCGACCGGCTGCCCACGGTAAACTCCTACCTCCCAGCTTTCTTTGTGCCTGTCACACAATGACTTCTGCTCAAATGCCAGCCTGGCACATGCTCAAGTGGATTTTCAAAGAGCAGACGGAGAGAACAGCTTTATGGGAGCACAAGAGGTGAGAAGAACATCATGTGTGTCCTCTGGATGGTGCAGTGTTGAAAGGATGACAGCTGGAATTTACTCTGTTCAGATAAGCTCGGTACCTCGTGTGCCTGTCAACGTTGAGACAAGCTCCCTTCCCTGAGTTTATCCAATTACACACCCAAACACAGCAGCTTGCACTGTTTGTAATAATGTGTGGATTTACTGCACACATGCTGAAATGGAGAGAAATATGACAAGATGCCTGCATGAGTAACTGAGTGCAGAAACATTATTCCAAGCAAAAGAAATAAGTTTGTTACCTTGTTAACCTTTAAAATGTCAGATTTGAAAGTTCTCCCGTGCTCCCTCTTTAACTTTGATGTCATTCTGACCATCGTTCAGCATTTAAATATACAGCATCAAATCTTTTCTTTCTTTAAATTGCATTCGGGTGCTTTTTAACGGGCTAAAATCCAAGGCTGTGATTTAGAAAAAGAACGTTTTGGGCGTTTGACAAAGAAGAAAAACTTCAAACGTAGAGTCTCTTGTGGAAAAACCCATCTGCAAGATTTTATATTTTTGTTCTCTCACCATATCACAAAGCTTCCAGCTCTATTCAGGCGTTCAATCTGCTTATTCTCCCACTGAAAGGAACAGTATTTGGAGAAGTCTCAGTTCCTTGATACACTGAAATCAGCTGGCATTGTGAGTCTGCAGGATTTCGTCCGAGGAATATTTAACAGGAGCTCTGAATGTATAATTAAGCTGTTTGGTCCAGACTTTTATTGCGATGCTGTTCATATTCACTCAAGGACAAAATCACCTGACAAATGATCATAATGATTCTGAATATAGGGGATATCAGTAATTTGCAATTATCACAGTGTGAATAAGTGAAGACAGAAAAGATCTTTTTCTTATCCATTTAGTTTGAATGTAATAACGCATGGAACGAAAATGTGCTTTGACACAGCAGATATTATAAAGCATCTGAAAAACTATTTTAATCTGTCTAATAATTCCCGAAATCACCAGGACTCTGTAGAAGCAGTGGCTCATTAACGTTAAAGTGAGGTCACGACGAGGACAACCACTCTCGGTGATTCTCCAGTTTACTGAAGTTCAGTGAATATGAACAGCTCTCAGTGCAGCAGCAGTGGCTTCGTGTTGTGTGTAAAAACAATTACTCGGCTGAACGGCAGTCCCTGGAATTCGCTAATAGCCATTCTTACACTTCAGCATAAATAAAGTAGATGAAACATGTTGTTTTCTGAGCCTCAGAGGAGATGATATGTGGATTTTCTCACCTCCGGCAGAGTCATGTCACCTGTTCCTACCATCTTCTGCTTTAATGCTAAGCTAAGCTAACCAGCTGCAGAGTGTATCTCTATATTTATATAGGGCAGACATGACAGCAGCTGCGGATCTTCTCATCTTAGTCTTGGTAAGAACGAGATTTACCCGAATCAATTTTAACCGTGAGTCACATCTGAATGATTAAAGACCCAAAACTATGTCTAATTCCCATGAACTTACACTAATTTACTTATTTCATTTGCTAATTTACATTTTTAATTTGACCTTACATTGACAGTAATAAATCACTGACTGTTGTGCAGCACTTCCAGTTACGGAGTAAATGAGTCGACCTGCAGGTCTTCTGTGACTTTATCGTTCCCCCCGATGAATGAAAGGACTGAACCTCCTGTGACTAACGTCCTGCTCGTAACACGATGAGTCACTTGAACTTCAATGTGGATTCAGCCAGGCCTATGATAATCTATAGCATGGGAATGCAGTGATATTGATTTTCATCCCTCGAGGCTCATACTTCTACTTTTTGTAAAGAAAGACATGACTTCAGCAAAATGTCCACAGCACTTCCTTATCATTTTTGTGGGACTTGCTTCTTTTTGTTTATTGGCTGAAGTCGTGTTATCTGCAGCCGCCTGATGTATGAGCAGCGCAGCAGCCCTTTTTGTCATCGTTCCCTCGCTCTCGTTCTTTACTGTGCGCCCGCCCGCCTCACGTACGACCATAAATCAGCCGTGTGAGAGCTGCGACCCTCTGCCAGGCCCCTCTCATTGATTACGCTGCTCTGGATAAGTGTAGCATAATGAAGAGAGAGCCTAATTCAATTAGGCTGCCCGGACAGAAATTTGTAGCATATGCTGGATAAAAAGCTGCCTCCAAGAACAATGAAAAGAAGTGAAGGATAAGGAGGAATTCTGAGGGAGGGATGTCACTTAGATTGATGTTTTAACATTTGGGAACCGGGGATGCTGGAACAACAAAGTTAGAGTGACAGGAAATACCAATAAATCCAGAATGATTTTATAACTCTAGCCAATAAATGGTGAACAGTTCCAAGCCAGAATTGTGGTGTGGCTCTCGGGGATTGTTGTGTTGGTCAGTCGTTCCAAGAGAAATATCAGCATCAGAGTCATTTCAATTTTGGCTGGACGTTCATGGTCCCCAGAGAAAGACTCTTG